ACTAACCACCTTGCCCCATATCAAGACTCTACCGTTTGACGCGAGAATCACTGTTGATCAGGCAGGACTGGCCCAGTTACTAAGCAAAGACTCGGGTGGAACAATTATTACTTTATAACGCATAGTAAACTTTACTTTACTAAGAACAAAAATTAAAATACACTTAGACTAAAAGTAAGTGTTCAATCTCACTCCCCACAAACCATGTTGGTTCACTTGCAAATTTTCAAAGTATAACTCATGAATTAGTGTCTAAGAAACGATAAATAGAAAAGACTCTACTGTGAGATTAATCTTCACCATGTCTATTTGTTCTAACATTTAAAATAAACTATGGATATTAACTTAAAAAGAATGAAAATTTTTACGGACTTAAAAATTAAAAATCTAAAAATTCTTATTTCCCACCCCCAAACTTAAATCACACTTAGTTCTCAAGGTGTGGGAAATAAAATAAAAATAAACCAAAACAAATTAGGCCGATAAAAATAAACAATAGCTAATATTATGATAGAAATGGACAATAAAAGACAATTAAAAACAAAAAAGTAAAATAAAACAAAAAGGAAAGAAATAAAACAAAACAGAAAATAAAACAAAAAGAAGGAAAAGAATGCACCTGGGGAGGATTCGAAGTGGCGACTGGTGCAAGAAACAGAGGCCCTGGAAAAACAATGAAAGAGAAAGCACTAAAGTGCAGCGCGCTAGTATGGAACCCGTGACCTGCTGGAACAACATAAGTTGCTGAGCCTTTTCACACGGACCACACGTGCTGATGGGAACCCTAACAATCCTATAGAATTTTACCAATTACTTACGAATTTCTATATATATGTTTTGAAGGTTAGGTTTTTCTAATACATATTTTCGTCGTGATGTTCAAGCGAAAATGTATATTTAACATGCAACTCGTATGTGATGTTAAGATCAAATATAAATGTGCAAGACTCATTAAACTTTATGAAAACCCTTTGAAAAACCATGCAACCCTTAAGAGCGTGATGTTCGCCTTACGTGAACTTATAATTACCAATCACTAGAAGCCCTTCTCAATTTCAGGGTGATGTTCTAACAGAAAAATTGCATCAAATTACTTGTCTAAAAACCCTAATGGTCGCGAATCACTAAGACAATTAGATAGTTTAATCACGGTAATTAATAATTCAAAGCAAGCAAGCATCCATTCATAAGCAAATTAATAAAACTACATATTCATGTTAAGGCTCATGACTTCGCCCTAGCAAACAGAAATTAGTTACGAACAACTATAAAACAAAAGGAATTTTATTGAAATAGAAAAAGGATAGAAAACACCTTGAAATACAAATCGTGAAAGCCTAGTTAAGTTCTCCAAATTAATGCCTCCCTATTTCTCTAATGGCTAAATAGGTTTCCTATTTGAACTGAAATTTGAACTTCTCAGAAAATCAGACTTTTGACCAACCAAATCAACTCCAATTTGGTCCCAAAATGTCTCTTTTTAAAGCTTGAGACGTCCTTAACAAATCCTCAAAGGAATGTTCCTCAAAATATGTCATCTTGACCTTCAAAATACCCAAAACATCCAGAAACGTAAATCTGGGAAAGCTGCGCGCTGGGTCTTTATTTGATCACCACAGTAAAACGACTTGGTAGAAAAATCTGGAATTATAACATAATTATCTTGAAAGACTCACGAACATCCTCAAATTAGAATCACTCCAAAATTCATCCGTTTGATCACTCTTTGCTCCAGAGGAAGTCGAATATCCTACATTGAAAATATATAACAAAATATCAAAATTCTACCAAAATAACTAATAAACTATAACTAAGAATATGTAAAAATATATAGTATAATATGAACTCATCAGTGGTGGTGGAGTCCATCTATGTTGTTATACAAAGAAAATAAGAGGTTAAAGAAAATGTGGAGTTGAGCGTTGAGAGAGAAAAGAAGAGAGAGTGACACGTTTGTGGTGATGGTATGTTGGTGGCCGTTCTCTGGGCTCGACTTCTATGTGAACACAGAGTAGAAAATATGGTAAGCGCTGGAGGAGAATGGAGAGTTTGAGGGGGGAAAGAGAGAGATTGGGATGAGAAGGCCCACAAATTTATTTTTTAATAATTAATATTAATTGTTAAACAAATAACAAATAATTTATTATTAATTATTTATTTTTTTATTTCAAATTAGAAAAAGATTGGGTCTCGCTCATGCCATGTCAGCATTTAATAGAAAAGTTGACGGATGTATGACATTGCAACAAATTTATAGATAAGGTATGACATTGCAATGTTTAAAACACGAGGTATGAGATTGTTATGCGACTCATAGTTGAGGTAGTTTTTTTGTAATTTACCAAAAATTATTTGACATCACATTTTCTCATATGTCAAATTGGACATATGAAAACTCATATGTCAATCCACATACGATTGACATATTGGTTGGATCATGCTACTATCTTCAAATTTGATTACATAACAGTCTACTTAGAATTTGACATCTCATTTGAAGATGGTCTTAAAAATCCAAAAATCCACCCAATTTTCGCTAAATACACTTCAAATTTTGAAAACAATTGTTGTTTAATCCCTCACAGTAAAAGCATCCCAAATCCGCGAGCAAAAGCCACAACCACACGATTGGTCAGGACAATAAACCCCAATAGAAAAGCCAAATCATCGCTGCCCAATAATTGCTCGCCGTGCTTTTAGTCTCACTTGATCATGGCCTCACACAATCATTCTCGCCTTCCTTTTTCTCCCCTTTACCTTTTTAGACAAAGTCCCCTATACAAACTTAGGTCGTAGGCAACAAAACAAACAATAAAAGAACTCTAGACTCAAGCAGTAAAACCCAAACTGTCGTCGCCACCGCTCATCCCCAAGGGAAGCCAGCACCCCAAATTTAAAATAACACCCACACCAAAAACTAGATCCGAAGAAGGTATGTTCAACACTCTGATATATAATTCAAGATTATGAGTTGGAAAAGAGGAGAGGGAGCAAAGGAGAGGAAGGAAAAGAAGGTATATTCTGACATATTTATATAGAGGAACTTTAAGTCGTTATCTTTTGGTAATTCAATCATTGACTAAAGATTTCACGGTCATGAGACTTCTTATATATGTAGACACAGAAAACACATAATATAGTGGGATGTAGCTGGTTTGCATCTCTTTTCCCCTCATGAAGGTAAACCAAAGTCTCATTGGGGGAGAATGACTTACATGAAACATATTTATTGTCACGTGACGTTTTTTGTCCAATAATGCATTGTTATGTATGTGTTTTTCTTTACATAATAATATTTTATTGAATTGAGATGAGAATTGTGCAATACTTTATATTTTTACATAATATTTTATAATATTAGCACAAGAATTGTGCAAATAACACGGTGGATAGTTTATGGATATATATATATAGATGGTTTGCATATCTTTAAGAGAGTCTCCTTAGCATTTCTCTCTCTCTCTCTCTCTCTCTCTATATATATATATATATATTAAGAGGTGGATAAGTTGGTTAACCCTTATAATAATTTGGTTTGAATTTGCTTTTGGTGAGAATCGAATCGAAGAGCTCGTACATACAACTAAAGAGTAAATAATAGTACCACTAAACTGTAATACTAAATGACAAAGTTATCTTGTCTCTTGACTTTTGATCTTGTGATACTTTTTCACGTTGAATCCCTATTGAATTAGTCTTCTCACCTAAATAATTGAAGTACGGTAATGCTTTAACAGTTTAACTAGAATGAACTAAATGAACAGAAAGCAACACCAATTGTTGAATTGATACAACTTAAAATATGGACGACATATTTAAAGTATAAATAACATCTATCAAATTTTCAAAATATAATTGTAAATTGGTGATTTATACAGCCGACTCATTTGATAGAATAAAGTTTTTGTTTGTTTGTTTGTTTGTTTGTTTGTTGACTATTTTAGCCATTGTGACTATGCAAATGATTTTCCCATACCCCTTCAGTCTCTCAACTCACATATAGCGGCGAAGTCACATGAGGAACAGGAGAGACACGAACTTATCTTGAAGTTTCTTCACTTTGTAGCTTCTGTTTGAATACTTTACATTCTTTGACTTATGTGTTTTTGTTCTTAGCTAGCTTTATTATATTTGTCTAATTGATAAAAAAAAAAAAAAAAAAGAAGTTTTATAGACACTAAACCCTAAACCCTATGCAGATGAAGTATAATACGAGAAGTTATAGGCCTTATACCAGCTAGCCTTCCTTAGTTAGTTCATTGTTTTGCAAGATATATGGAATAGATGAGGAATTTATCTTGAAAGATAATTTTAAACTAAGATTATTTTTGTTCAATTTCAATGTCGAAACTTAAAAAAAAGTTCAATGTTTATAATATAATATCTCAATTTTATTTTTTTCATGACTCTGTTATACTCTTGTCATTAAACTTTTTCATTGGAGTACATAAAAAAAATAAAAGAATCTGTTTCTCTCATTGGTTATATTTATTTTTAATCATTAAATTAAATAAATCATATAAAAATAACGATTATTATTAAACAAAATGAGTAAAAAAGTGAAAAGAGTGAGCTTATCGTTTTTCTGAAAAAAAAAAAAAAAAAAAAAAAAGGTGTTTCTCTGAACCCAAAGCTTAAAAATCCAAAAATCCACCCAATTTTCGCTAAATACACTTCAAATTTTGAAAACAATCGTTGTTTAATCCCTCACATAAAAGCACCCCAAATCCCCAAGCAGAAGCCACAACCACACGATTCGTCAAGACAACAAACCCCAATAGAAAAGCAGATCACCGCCGCCCAATAATTGCTCGCCGCGCTTTTAGTCTCAGCTGATCCCGGCCTCACGCAATCATTCCTGCCTTCCTCCTTCTTCCCTTTTACCTCTTTAGACAAAGTCCCCTGCACAAGCTTGACAGTCTCTACTCCTTAGTGGGCGCCATCAAAACCTCTCTCTCTCTCTCTCCTCCCTTCCCCCCCCCCCCTTTCTCTCTCTCTCTAAAACTTCTAGGGTTTCCGCCATGAACAAAACTGTGCGTTTCATCATCCCCTGAGCCCAAATCTCCCAATTTCCCATTTCTTTTTCTTCTGATATATTTTTTTGAAATGCCGAGGCAGAACAGCAATTTGGCGATGGACCTGATGATCCCCGGAAAAATCCGGAAGCGTGGGTGTTCGTCGTCGGCGTCTTCGTCGTCGTCGATCATCCAGAACTACAGATTCAAGCGGGCGATACTCGTTGGGAAGAGGGGCGGATCCAGCACGCCCGTGCCCACGTGGAAGCTCATGAGCTCCAGGTCCCCGACGGCCTCCGCATTGCGCGCCATGGACTCCCCCAACTACTCCCAGAGCGGCGGCGCCAGGTCCAAGCAGCAGCAGCATGCAACCCGTGTCGGCGAGGAAACTCGCCGCCACGCTCTGGGAAATGAACGACATGTCTCCGAGAGTGAAGGAAGGGTCGGACGAGAGGCGGCTGAGGAAGATGGAGGCGAGTAATCGTAAAGCCAGAGAGAGGGAGAGGATCCCGAGATCGGCGCACTCCGGTTCTCTGCCGCCCCATCTCTCCGATCCATCTCATAGTCCCGTTTCCGAGGTGGGTTTTCTCTTTGTTTCTAGTTCTGTTTGGTTGCTGAGAAAACTTGCGGGAATTTTGATGGAAAATGTAGCTTGCGTTTAATTTAAAGTTTAGTTTTTAAGTAGCTTTTTTGAGATTTCTTGTATCAGCATACTGTCTTTTTCTCATCGTGCTTGCGGCAATTCGATCTTCTTGTTTGATAGCCAGTTGATTGTAACGTTTTGGTAAATTTGGAGTTTTATATCCGTCTCATTTGAAAGCCTTGTCATAAATTTAAAGTACATTCGATCCATCTGATTTTTTTGATATTGGTCAGCATAAGTTAGGCATGTTGGTGGAGAGATTGACTGTAATATTTTTGTGCTACGTGTTGTTTTCGTTTTGTAGAGGATGGATCGGTCTGGAACGGGTAGTTTTCATAGAAGGGCGTCGCCTATTTCGCAGAGACGGCTCAGGATCACAGACCACCATTCTGGAATGTTGGATTCTCATGGCAATGGCAGTTTGATGGAGGTGAGTCAGTGATCTACTTTATTAGCAGGAATGAGTGTGCCTCACTCTTGCTCATTTGAAGTTATCATATATGCGGATTTTAACTTTTGTTAATTCGAATCAGATGATTGTTTATTGGAATTTCAACTGTATGATTTGTTATATGTGTACGATACTATTTTTTCTCATCTTCTTGTTATACAGGTTGAGACTAGATCTCGAGCCCAGACACCTACTGCTTCTACTGCTGGAGCCAAGACACGTTTGAAGGATGTCAGTAATGCTTTGACCACATCTAAAGAGCTACTGAAAATTATCAACCGTGTTTGGGGTAATGAAGATCGACCTTCAACAAGCGTGGCCCTTATCTCAGCCTTGCATGCTGAGCTGGAGAGGGCTCGTTTACAGGTCAATCAGCTTATCCAAGAACAACGCTCAGACCAGAATGAGATCAACTACCTCATGAAGTGTTTTGCTGAAGAAAAGGCAGCTTGGAAAAGCAAGGAGCATAAAGTTGTTGAGGCTGCCATTGAGGCCGTTGCTGGAGAACTTGAGGTAGAGAGGAAACTGAGGAGGAGGTTTGAAAGCCTGAACAAGAAACTTGGGAAAGAACTGGCGGAGACAAAAGCCTCTCTTGTTAATAAGGAAAAAGAACTTGAAAGTGAGAAGAGAACAAGAGAGATCATGGAACAAGTATGTGATGAATTGGCCAGGGATATGACTGAAGATAAAGATGAAGCAGAGGAAATGAAGAGGGAATCTGCAAAAGTTCGTGATGAGGTTGAGAAGGAAAGGGAGATGATGCAGTTTGCTGACGTGTTGCGTGAGGAGAGAGCACAAGTGAAACTCTCTGAGGCGGAACATCATCTTGAAGAGAAGAATGCAGCTGTTGATATGTTGAGGAGTCAACTTGAAGCCTTCATGGGAAGTAAGACAACCAAAGAAAAAGGACGCAGTTCTACTCATCTGAATGACGAAGAAATTTCTGCGTATCTAAGTAGAGCTCATCTTGGTTCCCGTCAGGATGAAGAAAAAGATGAGGATGAAGGAGAAGTTGAAGACGGAGTAGAATGCGAAGAGGATTCTGCTGAAAGTGATCTTCATTCCATAGAGTTAAGTATGGGCAACAACAGCAAAAGCTACAACTTGAATCGCAATTCTGCAGCCACTCGTGATCCAAGGTGGGCAGCACCTGATGTCGAAGAAATCAAAGGGAGGAAGTCTACTTCTGGGAAGCCACCAAGAAGAAGCACTTCTTTGCAAAGAAGCATATCAGATGGAGTGGAATGGGGCATGCAAACTGAAAGGCTCCAAAATTCAGGAGACGGGATAGATTGGGAGAGGTTTCCTGAACTGGAGAGGCAAAGGCAACGGCAAGGAAAAGGATGTGCAGAGGAAATGCAAGGATATAAATCATCAAAGGGTCTTAGGGACCAAATGTTGTCTGGTTCAAGGCTTGGACCTGGTAGAGTTCACGCTAGTCCTACGCGGCAATGGGGGCAGCCGTGGCCATCACGGGATCCTACCAATACATTCCAAGATAGGCCTCCCAGCGCGCAAGGAAGTGGTTCAAAGTCAAACTTGGCGGAAGTGAGAGGTGAAGGCCAGAATGGCAGAAGGTATAAACGGTGAAAATTTCTCTTTTTTGCCAATGCCTTTGAATAATGAAATACAGGGTAGCGGTGTAAAAGGCCATGCTTGAGGAAAGCGATTTCAATGATGAGAAGAAGCGTTTTGGCCCATCGATGCTTTTTGCTTGTTATCACCAGGAGCTGCTAAGTTGCAGTAATTGCTGCTCATTTTGCGCTGCACCAACGCCATTCTCGCTTTGGTTTTGTAGATTTTTCGAAGAAAGCTGTGACAATCTAGTGAGCTTGCTCTGTACAAAAGCTTCTAGCATTTATGTCTCAATTATATAGAAACATTATATATTTGCTTCTGTTTTTTTTGCCCTTTCTAATTCTCTTTCCTTTATGCTAATCGTAATCTGTCTTTACCTTATTTCCTGTGTTTTTTGTATACAGTAATTTTACAAGGTTTTGTGTGTTTGAAGGAAAATTTTGCTTCCGGATCAATCTTGGATCACATGTACCACTAGCCAACAAATAATTTTGCGGTATAATCGGTTATCTACAATTATGTGTCTTTCTCTTCACGTAACACGTAGTTATATACAATCGGTCTGAATTAAAAAAACCGGTAATGCCTAACAATCACTCCAAATTCAGTGAACTTTGACTGTAATTAGAACCCTTTGAATTTTTAATTAATGGTCCAAGGTCGCTTTTAGTTAGTCAAAGAATATTGTCACAGTTTATTTTATGTGCTAATTTAAATCTAGTGGATATGGTTAGGGGAGAGCTTGTCAGTTAAATACATTAGATTAGGGAATAATGGAGGCAGGAGGTGCCTAATAATTTAATGGAATTTGTGTGAAGGGTTTTCCGCATGTGCAGTTGGGAAGGGGGAAGACCATTGCACATGTGAACAACTAGGAGCAGACAAAGATTAGAACTAATAAAATTATGAGCAAACAAGGATTAGAACTAATAAAATTTTAGGATAAGTAGATGCGCAGGAAAAATTTGAGAAAAAAGCACTTTCTACCAAAAGTTTATGAGATTTTACAACTTTTTTGCTTTCCCCTGGTTGACTGGGGGCTGATTCCACATACTAATCTAACGTTGGTTTGATCAACTCTGTATAATTTAAATAGAATATCACTGTCACGTCTTAAAATAATAATACAATACCATGTGAGAAAGTTAAAACACATAACATTGTGCTAGTGGTATATGCAACGCAACAGTGACATCTTGAGGGTGTAAGTGTCACGGACTAACCCGCGGTTTTGGTGGTTGCGGTGTTGTGGTATTGGAAGAAGTCCTTAACCACCAAAGCAATCCATCACTTGGCTTTGATAACCCTTAACCACTAGATGCACAAATGTTAGTTCACCTTACCAAACACAACATTATGATTACATCTTATATACAATTAGATACGAACCACGTGACGTGATTATGCACTTTCATTTTCTTGGTTTTTGTTATTTAATTCTCATTTAATTTATTCAATCCAATGACTAGAAAAAAACAGAAAAAATAAAAATAAATGTTTCATGCATGAGAAGAAAAAGAAAGTGCGGAAATTATTTCTCATAAATGATATAATCTTCATTTTATAAATGGATATAAACATTTCAAGTTCCAACATGAGTTATTCACTATGAATAGATATAGGTCAAAAGCTCCTAATGCGTCACAACAGCATCAACATTATCGAAATATGAGAGTGCAACTGCGGCATGAAAGGCTGCTCCAATTGGAAGAACCTCCTCATCAATCACCAAGAAGGGTGAATGCAAATCTGTTTTCGATACAAACGTCGCGTTCTTCGTCCCAATCATGAAGAATGCAGCAGCCATTTTTTCTGCATAGAAGCTGAAGTCCTCTGCTCCCATAGCCATTGGAAGTAGCTTCACATTTGGTTCCCCGAGCAAAGTTTCTCCAACACTCTTTGCATGTTTGTACATTGCTTCATCATTAACCGTGGCAGGATAGGGCCTCATTTTTTCCAGCATGAAGTCTACCGTTGCTGTGCACCGATGCACCGAAGCTTGCATCTCTGTAACCTGCCAATCATCACACGCATTTAGATCAATGGTCTAGACTAAGAGTCTTGACTCTCGACTCTTGATAACGTAACATGTCAAACTGTCTAGTCTCATAAAACAGCAAAATTTCGATCACATTCCAACTAGTAACTGCTTTTAAACTGCATGTTAATCTGAAAAATTACTTCCGTTCTTTGTTAAGGTAGAACAATTGTAGACTGGTTTAAATTAAATTAGACCTAAGATAATACCTCTTTAATCCTTTGCTGAAGGTAGTATAGACCTTCGGAAGTCATGCTTCGAAACGTGCCTTTTAATGTCACCGTCTCTGGGATTACATTTCCTGCTTGGCCACCATCAACAAACCCCACGGTTACGACCTGTAATAGTTCAGAAATGAAAAGAAATGAGTACTCTTTTAGGTGATCCGCACTGTGTATTCTGAAGTCTCCAGTTAAAGATTATCAAACCGGATGCACTATTTCGACATATAGTTGTTATTCAATAAATAGACGAACACATTGTTTCTATATTTGACGGAAATAATCAGTCCAACAGTTAAACTAATTTCCGACTTGGCCAATTGTTTGCGAGGACGACGATTTAGAAAACTAAGGAGAAGGTGATGCTTGTAATTACACATACCCTGGACTCTAGAGGGTTTGTTTCTCGAGATACAATGTGTTGGAGGGAAATGATGGTCGAGCAGGCAGCAAGAATCGGATCTGTGGCCAAATGTGGAGATGCAGCATGTCCACCTTTCCCATGAATGGTGACCGAAAACCTACCAGAACCAGCAAGCATCAGACCAGGTCTCGAACCAATAGTTCCGATGCAACCCAAGAATGCCTTGAATGTTATCAAGGGCACCCTCTTTTATCATATGGTAAGCCCCTCCACGGGCCTCTTCTGCAGGTTGAAAAACAAGCTTGATTGTGCCCTATAAAATTGTAAAGTTAAATGCAAAGTGTAAACAATGTGTATAACTGATAAAAAAATAATGGAAAAGATTTGAGCATATATTAACTTCAACTGGTTTGTGTGCTTACCTTTATTTCTTTGCTTTTGCGTTGAAGTAACTTAGCAGCTCCAAGCAGCATTGTAACATGAGCATCATGCCCACAAGCATGCATTTTTCCAGGGTTCTTGCTCTTATGCTCCCACTCAACCATTTCCTAACAACAAGAAACCCTATTTAATCTTTTTATATTTTTATTTTTACAATAATACTTTTTCATGACACCTACGGACGACATTATTGCCTGCCTCTCTAATAAAAGTGTGCGTCATGCATGCATGCAAGACCCAGATGTACCAAGCAATGTGGTCAACATATGTGATTGAAATAACATCATTCTTTTTGTTAATGTTGTATTCAATAAATGTGCTGTCAAATTAAAATATGAAGTAATTTTCAAACACTATTTTCTTACCTGCACAGCTTAGTTTTAGCCTTTAGGTTGATCAAAATCAAAGAATATTCAAGGTGACACAAACAGACATGGATGTGCATAAGAAGAGAATGGTGTGTGAAATCCCTTATGATTCAATGTATCTAACTGTTTAGCCCCTGACTTTTAACAATTGGCACCTTATTACCATAAAGATACAAATTGTTACACTTATGGCCATTCCATCCGTCGAGCTATCAACTAACTAGTACAATCGACCAAAAAAATTAACTGCCTGCTAATTTTTTACACGACACTTAGAATTGGTTTGTTATTGCTATGCTTTGAAAAAAAAAAACTGATTCTGCTGTATTGTGAAAATAAGCTCATTTTTGCTGCTTCACGTTTTCAGCTTTATTTTTTTTATTTTTTTTCTCACCCAAAACTGTGAAAATAAGCTGTTTTAAGTGTTTACCAAGTACCTTTTTGAACTCAGCTTTTTCTTATACCCACTTTTTATAAAAGCAAGTACCAAACCAGTACTTAGTTGGTAAACTTTTTGCCTACATGAACTTTAAATTGATAGTGCATATATCACTATTCGTATGTATCCATATCTAGAAAAATTTTATTTGTTGTTCATATAAAGTTAGTTACTCCATTTATTATGAATCTCATGATCTCCATGCAAGCAAAGAGGTACCGAGTGCGGTTGAAGGAATAAAGTTAACATTTAGTCTAACAAGAGGGGCCAAGAGTTTAAAATTTTAAAAATCCGGGAACAAAATGTTATTGACTTAATCAGAATGGTGCAAACTGCAATTAACTCTTGTCAAAAAGTCGTGACAAAGGAGAGTGAGCGAACTTTGACCAACCTGAATCGGGAGAGCATCCATATCGGCCCTGAGAGCAAACCATGGCTGCGACCCCGAACCAATAGAAGCCACCACCCCGGTCTTCGCCACCGGCCACGTGTACCCGATCTCGAGCGAGTCGAGTTCCGATCGGATGAGTCGACTCGTCTCCTCCTCCTCAAAGGCCAGCTCCGGGTTCTCGTGGATTGTCCTCCTAACCCTCTTCAGCCAATCAAAGAACTCGGGCTCCCGCACAGAGTCCATCAGCTCTCGAGTGAGTTGACTCACCTCCCACCTCGAACCGGCCGCCACTGAACCCCATGACGATACGTGGTTTGCGAACGTAAATAACAATGTCAACAGCCGCAGCCACTCCATGAACGTCTAACCATTCATTAACCAACCAGCATAATTTGTATTTCTGTTGAGTCTGGTCCGGAAAAATGATTAAATAACGCAGAAATACTAATCACAAATTAGTGACTACGTAATTTGATAGTGACTTCGTTGTTTGAACTTTGGACGGCTGAGACAAAAAGATGAGTTCGGGTTAATGACTTTGTTGTTTATCGATGACAACTCTCGTTTATTTGAGGGCGAAATTATATTATATTATTTTTCTATACTAAAACCCAAACTAGGGTTTACTGTTCACGTACAGTGGAGTGGCGAAAATGCCCTCCAAATACAGTGGAATGTCGAATCTGCCCTTTCTCTCCAGCTGTCAATCATCGTTGCATCTTCTGCCTTTTTCTATTGCTTTTCACTCTTTTCCTCTCCGGTTATTCTTTCGCTCTTTTTGGTTCTCGGCTTACGCCGTCGTTTGCTCCCTCTCGCTGTCTTCTCTGTCGATGTGGTTTTGCAACTTCATCATTTTCCGGTGAGTTATTTGATTCTTGCATCTGCCAGTTCTTTTTCCAAATTTGTGGATTTGGTTTGTTCAATTGTAAGTGTTAAAATTTGTCGTCCTCTTTCTGTGTAGGTTTTGTTGTTCTTCAATTGAGGCTTTATCTTTGCTGTTCTTCGATTATCTGTTAGAATTGTTAATTTCTGCTTCTATTTGGTTGGGTTCGAAATATTTTTCTGCTCTTTTAATCTGTCCTTTTCAAGAAAGTGTTGCATGTTTCTAGCGGCAAGGTTTGCTTATCCAAAATACCTACTCATCCTTGAAGCTTCAATTTCCATTTAATTTTTCCCTGTTGAGGTAAACTCTCTGCTAAAACCTTCTAATTCATCTTTTATTTCTTTTTTCATCTGGGCAAAATTTTTGATGGATTTATGTAATTTTTTTTTCCGTTGAATTCGAACTCGAATCTGAATTATGGATTCAGAAAAAACAAATTGATGAATTTTTTATTTGCGTGTATGTCGGTCCTGTCACCGCATGATTTGATAATCCGACCCCGAAGCTAATCATTTCTGTATGTTTTTGGGGTTGCAGACCTGGACTCTCGAATGGAGAGGATGAAAAGCAACTGCAGGAAAGCAGCGATGGAGACCCGGCAGCAGCATAGTCAAGTCGATCTGGGTAATCTAATGGCCTTCGACCCTCATGCTTCCCCTCCATCCCCTTTTCTAAGTTATTTTTCTTTACTTATTCAATATATCTCTATTTTTTGGTAATATTTTTGTATACTTCTGGCCTATTTTGAAATTATTGCTTTTGAGAAATTAATTGAAAATTTACTTTTGGAAATTGGGATTTTATTTGGATTAATCCCATCAGTAAAGTGGCAGTCTTTAAGTGAAATAGTGAAATTTTCACACTATACTGATGGGTTTTTGTTCAGTAGGTGAAATTCTGATTTGTTTCTTTTTCATGGTATTTAGGGATGAATTAGTGAAGGAATGTATAACGAAAGGGACTGAGTTGGTTTAAGCTATTGCGAATAGTCTTTTCAACTCACATTCAACTGAAGACATAGACGGTCCCATTGTGCAGTTGTTTGCTTCATGAAACTAAACTGCCAAGATAGAAGCATGTAAGTCATTCCTCTTAGTTTATGATTCTACAACGCTGTTTTTTCTTTAATAGGTTTGATCATGTATATGAGCATTTGGTAATGAAACATTGTATGGTGCTTCACAATTGAAAAGAAGTGGAATGGTAGTTTCAGGTAATGGTGAGATTTTTGTTGTTGTGCTGCCAATTTATGGTTCCTATCATGTAAATTGGTTGACTAAAATGTTAGTGTATGCAAAAAAGGCTTTTGCCAAAACAAAAGGTAAATCATTACTGACACTGTAGGAGTTTCGAAACGTGTAGGTGGACCGTATTTGATTGAGAATAAATGCCGTGCAATATCGATTTTGGTATGAATGTTGGGGATGAGGTATATATCTTAAACCAGATTACTTAATTATAGTTAGATTAACTTTTTTTTCTTTTTCTGTTATGTAGCTAAAGCAGCTAAGGTTGAGTGTTTTAATCGGTTGTAAATGGCCACTTTAACTAAATGTCATATAATTTTTTGTTAAAAGTTGTCACATTTTAGTAAGCTAATAAATTATTGGCATGCACGTATGGATAGAAAATTATATGGAATGTGGTTGACCATGACGATTGGGGGAAATTAGGCATTTTGGTGTTTTCATTTTGTTTGTCGCATTTTGTTGTTCTTGCCTAATTGTTATTTAACCTTGGATAGGTGCTGTTTCAGATTTTGTGTATCTCATTTTGGAAGTGATTCATAGGTGCTCTGTAAAGGTTAGTCTTATACTCATTTTTGAAAAACTGTGCATAGTAAAATATTGTGGCGTTTTAAAATCCTTGCTTTTGTGATTGTGATATGATACTGTGTATTTGCTTTATTTAATTACAATGGTGTGATGGAAAATTTTAAATTTTATTTATGTGTATATCATATCTTTTCCATCTTAGACATCAATCTATTGCTTGGTAGGACTAAACTTATGACATATAGTATAGCTACAATTGCAACAATTATTAAATAGATAAATGACCTTTCCTTATATCGGGAAGCCAAACATCCAAATATACGAAAATGCACGGTTTGATACTTATATTTGTAACAAATGTGTCCTATAATTATGGAGGAATTCTTTTGATGCTTAAGAGTCTTGCCTTGGATAGAGATTAACCCATAGGCGCACACACAATCACAATAAGTTTGGGTTCTGGTTTAGATATTTATATTTTTGGATAATGGAAATTGTATTTTCTTTAGATTAATCCCATAGCAGGTACCATGCGGGTTTTTTTTTTAATTATTTACTAATTTTAACTTTGTCTTTTAAGTTTGAGTTCTGGTTTTTCATATTTATATTTCTGTACAAATTTGATGCTATCAAAGGGTTTGATGATTTCTGATGATTTCAATGACAACAGTTTCTTTTCCAAAAAATGATAGCTTTTTGTTGTAAGAATTGGGAAACAGTTGCTAAGTGACGATTCTCCGTATCCTTTTAGAAGCCTTCTTCACCTGCTATAACTTCTATGTTTTGGTTTGTTATGAAATGAATTCCTTTTACCATAAAAAAAAAAAAAGGGTACAATGTTATCAAATTCGATTTTTCTAATGATTCGAATGCTGGGGTTTCTTATGGTTAAATCTTTGCATGTATTTTTTTTTTCTTTCTAATTTTCTGATTTTCAGTTTTATCTTTTTTTCTTTCTCAATTATACCAAGATATTGTTTAATGCATAGACACATAAATGATTCAAAACATGGGTGTACCAAGATAAAAAAAATGTTGGATTGTCTGCAAAGCGCTGGACCAAAGAGAGGAATATAATGTGTAAATATAATTGGTTATTCAAATACGAACTTCTTTGCTTGATTGCTAGAATTTCAGTATAAATCAGATATTAGTTAGATGTTATAGATGATCAAACTTAAACAAGTTATTGTATTAGCATGTTGTAATTTTTTTAATTCGAATGTCTAATATTAAAATGTTTTTTTTTTTTTTTTTTAACCAATTAAAACAAGTCAATTTGCTATTTTTTCAATGCAAGTTTGTAAACATTTACATATTGCAAAACATACATTTTGATGTATAGACGCATTTTCTTTCTAACAATATGTATGCTTTTGCTCCAGGTTTACACGAATGAGCATTGTACTAATATGTGACTTGAAGCCTCTTACAAACGATATGAAGATCATAGTTGGAATATGCCGAATTTGGAGAACAGAAATGTTTTGACGTCAGAACCAGTTCAATACTTACAATGTGTATCGGTTGATAAACTGGTGAGAAACAAAATGGTTTCAATGTCATGTAGTTTCTAACACGCCTCAACATGGTACAGTTGACTGTTAGAAATCCATTTAATCTTGCAGGGTTCATTTGGTGAATCTGAAAAATGTCAAATGGTGTGGTACTTGGGTCGTTAAAACTGTTATGAAGAGACTCATATGCAACCCTAATAATGTATGTTTGATATAAGCTTTTTCGCTATGGGTTTTGAGGTGTATATTTGTTTCATTGAATTCCTGTATGTCCTGTATGTTTGAGAAAATTGGAAATGAATGTCGGGAATAATTCAATCTCCACATCAACTAATTGTAGCTCAATCTCTTTCATACATTGTTTGGAGTTGTTCAAATGCATCTCGTAGTTTGTTCTGAGGGTGAAGAAATTTTTGAATTAATCTGTGAATTTGTGGAGTTGAATGAAACCATAGGCTTTTGTAATACAATTGGAAATGAAAATTATTTTAATTCTGTAATATGATGATCTCTCAATTTGCTTTTGCAGATCTTCTTTGCTTCCTGTGCTAGCTCTCTATGTCTCCATCTCCAAATAATTCTTTGAAAGGTGTCAATCTAATCTTTTTTGTGTATGGATAGGCAAAATTTTTAGATTTTTTGAATTTCAATTTGAAGTTTGCTTTTTTATTTTTATTTTTTAGTAATTCATATGATAATCTTAAATATCTAGATAATTGATGTTTCGTTTTTTTAATTGTAATTTTGGTTTAATTTGCCATTTTATGGTTTTTTGTTTAAATGCATATTACAATCAATGATATTGATATTCGTTTATTCTCTATAATCACTTTCTTGGTTGTCTAGAAATCGAGTTATATGGTTGCGTAATTGGTTATATGTAGTTGTCTGTTTGTTATGGGAAACAAGGCTTTATACATTCAGTCAGTCAAACTTTCCAACTCAGCTCTCTCCTTCTCCCCTGATATGCATTTCATTTGAGTAAATATAATCTGCAGCAAATGCAGATGCAGGTGCAATTGCAGATAAACAAATGACAACGAACTTTTGGAAATATATCCTTGACACCATGAAAGAAATTGTCAAGCTGTGGATAACTAATGTTGCTTTTTGGATTATTAGTTACAGGGCATCCAGTAGCTCAGGTTGGCGATCAGAGTAGCACAACACTACCACGCAAAATTGTCTTTGGGTAAGCTTCCACTCTCTTCTATTTATAATCTCTTTGAGAACTGATTTTGGTTGGTGGTTTTGGAAGAGATAATGTCCAATTCATATATGAACTAAGAAAATAATATGCATGTATAATGAAGTGGAATTTTTCATGGTATTATTAACATGCATGTTATAAATTTAGTTGTTGATTTTGGCTTGGCATGAAGAATGGCGTGAAAAAAACTGAAAAACTAGATCTACTACTGTTTATGCAGCGAGGGAAGGGAAGGAAAGAAAAAACAGTTAATTTAGTGCTCCCTTTTCTCAATCGCTTTCCACGTTTTCTGCAAGCTCAATAGTTTCGTATCTTTCAAACTAATAGTTTTTACTTTTTTGTGTATATATTCTGTCTTGCATTGTTTTATTGGTTTTGAAACTATAACTAAGTATACCATAACACTACAACTTTCCATTAAATGGTTCCAATAATATAGTTTCATATATAATACTCTTACACTCTTTACTAATTTTTGTTACACTATCCATCACTCACACTCTTTACTATTATAGAGTGATTTAAAGAATTCCAAGAGCTTCATTCACCCAATTTCTGCTCTTCTTTCAAAACGCTCAAACATCTTTCAATGCAAATAACATTAACCTTCTTTAACAATCTCTTATAGCTTTGAAACATATTTTTTTCATACGGTTTCTAATCCTGTAGCAACGCGCGGGCAATATTTCTAGTATATACCAAACGCCTAACTTTCCAATTAATTCCCTTTGTGTCCTTTTTACTGTTCATTCGCCAATGTTCTTCCAATTTTGCCCTTCAGTTGCTCTTCAAGTCTTGCCATTTCGTTCTTTTACACAGTAAAATGACGGTTTTGGCCCTCTTGTCCAATAGAAGTCTCTCGACTCCTGCCTCAGAAACCGCAGAAAAGCACTCAGCTTCGCCGTCTCTCTTCCGTCTCTGCTCTCTTCGATCTCTGCTTCCTCCGTGATTTCTTCTTTTTTGGTCTACTTCTCATCCCCAAATTTCACCAGTCACTTTGCTCCAGATCTTTCCAATTGAAAAAACCCACATCATCATCATCTATTCCTCAATCCTCATCACCACAAGTACCTTCTACACCTATTTCATGTCAAAATGTGCTCCAAATTTGTGATTTGATAGAATTGGATTTTAGAAAAAACTTGATGATTTTGAGGATCCAATTTAACGGCTAGAAAAATTTTCACTAATTTTCTGGGTTCGTGGGGGGTAGATTAGAAAAATTTTCATTATCTTTCTGGATTTGTGGTTTTTTTAATTTATTTAGGGGGGTCTCAGAGAAGCAGATTACACTGCAGTAGCAGTGCAGGACCTGGTGGGCCCGGATTTGGTATTGTTCTTACCTCTGTTTCTTCAAATTTTGAATTTCTTTTATATGCAATTTCTGTGCTTGCTGTTTGAATGAATATTCTGGTGGAAACTGTTGTTTTATATGAATTGGGGTTTTCACTAAATTAATAAAGATCAAATCTTTGTGGTTCTTTGTTGTTTATCTCAACGTTGCTTTGCCCGCAGCTGGTTGAAAATGACGTGGTCCTGATCGTTGGCCACTTCCGCGACAGTTCCGAACGATGGATTCGGCTCCCAAGCTCCGACGATTCTGTCTGTGGCAAAGAGAATTTAGGAAGAGTGGAAGATCCTGGAGAAGGATTTGCCAGGCAAGTTTTTCTGTTTTTTATTTTGTGTTTCCTTTTAAATAACTGTTTTGACATTTGAAAATCCTTAATTCTGTGATTGGGATATGATTACTGTGTATTTGCTTTATTTAATTACAATTTACGAGTGATGGAAAGTTTAAAATTAATTTATGCCACAATTGTTAGGCACTATGTTTCACTGAAATTCAAGACGAAGGTGAAGGCGATATCTGTATCCTTCTACACATGCATTTTGGAAAGTTTGATGATTCGCCTATATTTCGTCAACTGGTATGTTCATTCTAAATTTTTATATTTATTGTTTTTGGTTGCAGATTTAACCCTTTGAACTTGAATTGGATCACTCTTTGGTTAAATGCTTATTAAGTCTTTGTTCCACATGTGGACCGTTGTCATAGAAGAGTTCCTACCGTCAAATTATAACTAAGACTGCGACAGCTGCTGCTCCACCATCATTTCTAAAAAATTAGGTAAAAATCTCTCGTCTCTGCAAATCTTTTTAACAATGAACCAATGAATGCACAAAAAAGTTTAGTACGATCTGATTTTTATGTCTTTCGCTCATTATCTCATTGAACAAATCAATTCCAGAAGCCATTTTAAGTATGCTAAATACTTTAGATTTGACATTTTGTGTGTTGAATATCAAGATAGAGAAACTTTTCTCTAAAACACCATTTGTCCATTTATGCATTCGTTTTTCTAAGTTAACAATTCTGCAAAATGAGGGTTTATATTTCACTTTTTAAACACTTCAGACCAAATTTGTTTAAGCATAATTCAATTGATTGGTTTGAATACGAATAATTTGTAAAACTCGGATTCATACAGTATTTAAGGTTTAAGGCCATAGCTCAAACCATGCATATGTTTTGTTATCTCATCGTTATCATACATAGTTGAAAACACACATAATATAAAATTTGGCATAAACTTTACATGTTTGGTTAATAATGCCTAATGTTTTCGTCTATGCAGGACCCGGTCTGCCGACAATTTTCAACTGTCATTTTATTTAACTTTCTGTAAGCCCTTTTATTGTTCTGATCTTTAGCAAGATGATCCTTTAACAAATCCAACTGTCATTTGTTCACATTAACTTCCATTTTTCCATTTCTAACAGATAAATGAAAACATCTACTAGCAGAAGAAACTGAAGAAACAAATCCATTAGATTAAAGAAGCTCAGAACTACTCATTGTTTCTTATCTTAGATAGGGTTGTAAATAGATTTATATAAGCATTATGGCTTATCATTTATATTTAAAACTTTCTACATGTTTTATACAGTTTCAAAACCCGCAGCACTGCGTGGGCACGCTTGCTAGTATTAACTTATTAACATTCCTTTGATAATATAAAGGACAGCATGAACAAAACTTCGGAATTGGAAAAGAGTTCAATACATGGCAAAAATAGTCAGATTCAAAGCCGCAATAACCAAACTTGCATCGCCTTCAAACTCAACCATATTGGCTTCCCATTTTTGATCAAACAGCACCTCCGCCCTTGCTACTTCCATCTTAACCAAATGGTCACGAACAGTAACTCCCACCCCGCCGCTTCCTTCATTTTCCATTCACGCCCCATCGAAACTACATTTAAGCCAATGATTCTCCGATTTCTTCCACTTACGCTATTTCTTCAACTCCTGTAGCGAAGACGTTGTCATACATTGAATTTCCATAGGTGGCGTGATCTTCCCATTCCATAGGAACGCATTTCTTTCCTTTCAGATACTGCGGACGATTATTAGCAATAAGCTAAAACTTTCTCGTGCCAAAGAAGATGCCATGTTTGCCAACCAATCATTCCAACCGTCATGTCATCGATCTCGCCCCCTGAGTCCCAACGGATTCGCAAACCACACTACAGCAGCCATGGGACAGTCTTTCATGACGTGTTCGATGGTTTCTTCCTCCTCATTAAAGAATAAACGTGTTGCATTTGGCATGACACGTCTCTTGAAAAGATTAACTCTTGTAGGTAGAGCATTTGAACAACTTCGCCAAACACAAATCTTAACTTTACCCGGCATCCACTAGACTCATTCTCAACTTCACTCCCACTCAGTTGCGCCAAATGATAGGCACTCTTAGTAGTGAACTTTCCATTTCTTTCCTCAGACCATATAATAATATCAGGAGGTTTAAAAATACTTAGAGGGAGACTAACAATTAAATTAAATTCCTCCTCAAAGAACATATTTCTCAAAACCTCCCAATTCCATTTTCCACTTCCTTGCAGCATTATTAACATATCCACCGTGCAGGTGGTGTCCCTACCTTGGGGTATTGGGCTCAACACCATGGGAAAATTAGGCCTTGGCAACCAACCATCTCCCCAAATCCTGATTTGTGATCCGTCCGTCCCCCACCCGCCACCTAGCACCTCTGGAAAGCACTTGACGCTTAGCTACGATACTCCTCCAACAATATGAAGCATTCTACTTAACCGTAGCATGAGCAAAGTCCGTTGTAGGATAATACTTTGCTTTGAGTATTTGGGACACAAGAGAATTGGGATTTTGTAATAACCTCCATCCCAGCTTGTTTTGCTAGTAGTAACGCTAGATTAAACGCATAAAGGTCTTTAAAACCCAAACCTCCCTCACCCTCCGGCTAGCAAAGTTTACTCCATTTCATCCAATGTATATTCCTCTTGCCATGTTCACGCCCCACCAATACTGAGCCACCATTTGATTGAGTTCATCACAAAACGTCTTTGGCAAAAGGAAAGTCTGTATAGTATAAATCGGTACTGATTGTGCCATAGTTTTAATTGGAATCTCCTTGCCTGCAGTACTCAACAGGGAAACTTTCCACCCATTTAATTTTTTTCCATAACCGACCCTTAATATACGAGAACGTTGTCTTCTTAGCCCATCCCACAAACACGGGTTAACCCAAGTAACGGTCATGGTAATCCCCTCTAGACATGCTAAGACAATTAGCCAGATGTTGCTTATCAGTACTCTGTCAAGTTTGCACTGAATGCGACACAACATTTCGTGTAATTTATAGTTTGTCCCGCGGCCTCTTCATATGTTTCCAATAACCGTTTTACCTGTACACACTTTTGTAAAGAACTTCTAACAAAAACAAAACTATCATCAGCAAAGGGAAGATGGGGTGGCAGTGTGTAAAAGCAATTTGATTCTGCAAATGTGATTAATCTACCCCAAATTTAACGTGCATAAAAAATTAAAAATAAAAATTAATCTCAAGGGATGCCGACAATTAGAACCCATCATTTTTATCCAATCCAGGACAAAATGTGGTCCAGGGAAAAAAATATATATAGAAATATAATCCTACGTGCACTGTGAATCTTGCCCGGCATTTTGCTTTGCAATATCTCCTCATCTTGTAGCAGTTGGGACGTTTCTGCTTGGCTTTTATATCTCGCCAAGTTTTTTCTTCGTTTAAAGTGTTATTGGTACTTCGAAAATCTCATTCTACATTTCTCACAAATGTATTTTTCTTTCTAAATATAGAAAGTTTGGAGTGTAGAATGAGATTTTTGGAGTGTCAATAATAATTCCTTAAAGCAAACGTACTTAATTACTAGTTTGGGAGTGCTGTATTTTTATTAAAATTATTTTGATGTGTTATAAGAATAATTAATTGTAAAATAAAGTAATTGAGTGTTTGATAAACTATATTTTAAAAAACGTTGTAAGTATAAAAAGTAGTGTAAAAGCGTTTGAAGTTGAGATGGTTGGCAACAACAATGGTGATGGGAGTAGTGGTGGCTGGTGGCGGATCACTGGAGGAGGTGGTGGTAGTGATGGTAGCAACAATGATGAAGGTATGGTGGTGATGTCAATAGTGGAGTGTGGTGATTTGGATGAATACTTAACACTTATAACGACGGTGGCGGCAATTCTAATTATGATGATGATAGCGGTGGTTACAATATTAAACAGAGCCTTAACCCTATGATTAATTTATACGTACAATTGGAATCCTAATTAAAAAAAAAAAAAAAACATTGAAACCTAAGCATGAAAAAAAAAATAACACTTCCAAACAAAATTTAAAAGCTTCAAAACCAGGTTTTGTCCGTCACATGCATTCAAATCGGGCCACGTAAACTTGTCGGTGACCTAAACAGCAATTGTCACTCTATCCAATGATTTTTATATTGGTAGAGTACGTATAAACATACAACACGTACATTGTTTAATTGAAGCGGATTGTCTGCGCTCTCATTTTCATATTCTTTTCAAGCTCTCATGTGATGTAATCACGGTTAAGTTATGTCAATATTTTATATTAATTTTTTATAAAAATAATAAAACAAAAAGTAATATAAATATAAAATATTGACGTGACTTAACTGTGATCGTACAAACAAGAGAGCATGAGGGAAGTATGGAAATGGGAGGGCAAACAATCCACCTCCTTGTTTGATTCATGCCGCGGTGGTTTGGTATTTTTATGCTTTAAAAGAAAATTATTTTTAATGTGATGTGAGAATAAATGATTGTGAAATAAAGCAGTGGAATTTTTGGTAAATTTTAAAAAAAAATGCTTTTAACAAAAAATACAATATTATAGCGTTTGGTAAAATTTTTATATAAAACATGTGTAACTGTGCAAAATGACTAAAAAAAAAAAAGATATTTAATATATATAATAATTTTTTTATATTTTCTTTTATTATCACATTTACAATATTTATATAAATTATTTACTAAACAGCTGTACTATTTTACTTTTTTTAATTAAGATATTTATAATTTTTTAATTCTATTCTTTTCTGCAAGGGGTCGTCTTTCTTCTTTTACTTTTTTTTGCAGAACCTCTGTATTTTCTCTCTTCTGCCGCTTACCCCCTCTCTCCCCCTTCTCTCTCTGTCTCTCTCTCTGCCAGATCCTAAAGAAGGCTGGGTCGCATCAACCGAATGAGGAATGATGGACTCCGATTTCGGGACTTACCGATGGTGTTAGTGGCGAAGGCGTCGAGGCCGTCCCGTTGAGATTTTGGGTGTCAAGCAGAAAGGTGCAAATCTAGCATTCTTTGAGCAACCCAGATTTTGACAAAGCCCAGAAATCCGACAAACCTCTCGCCGCTCCTGTCCAAGAAATCCGCAGAAGCTTAGAGTGAGAGAGGACAGAAGAGAGACAAAAAAAAACCGGTTTTTTCAAAACTCAGTTTTGCTGCTTCGTGTTTTAGGCTTTTTTATTTTTTTTTCACCTAAAATTTTGAAAAAAAATTGAAGTTCACCAGCTTTTTTGATACCTATTTTTTTCAAAAGCACCTCAGTATCAAACCATTAATAGGTGTCTCCATATATTTGCATCGATCACTGAAATTAAGATGAGCAGTCCTTCCTCACCAGCTCCAATTCCGGGTCCTAAAAGGTACGCTTAATTTTCATCATTCGATATCTAGCGTCCGAGCAGGGCTTATAGCTCATCTGGTTAAGGTAGCTCGAGGTTCAGGGTTTGAATTCCTAGTTTGTCCTACATTTGTCATCATCAATTTTCAGGTTAGAAGGCAAAGTGGCAATTATCACCGGAGGTGCTAGTGGAATTGGAGAGAGCACTGCAAGATTGTTTGTGTTCCATGGTGCAAAAGTCGTCATAGCCGACATCCAAGACGAACTAGCCCTGTCCTCTGCAAAGAACTCGACCCAGACGGAGATTCCATTTCGTACATTCGTTGCGATGTCACTGTCGATTCGGATGTGAAAAATGTTGTAGACGTGGCTCTGTCGATGTACGGAAGGCTTGACATCATGTACAACAATGCAGGCGTATCCGGCAAATTGGACCCAACTATTTTGGGTGCTGATGACGAAAACTTCAAGCAAGTGTTTGATGTGAATGTCTATGGTACTTTCTTGGGCGCCAAGCATGCTGCTAGGGCAATGATCCCTGCTAAAAAAGGTGTCATTCTTTTCACTTCAAGCGTGGCGTCAGTGACTTGCGGCCAGTCTACACACGCGTACGCCATGTCGAAGCACGCGGTGGTGGGACTTATGAAAAGCTTGTGCGTGGACTTGGGGCAGCACGGAATTAGAGTCAATTGCATATCTCCGGGTGCCATGGCAACCCCGTTTCTGACGAATCTTTTGGGGATTGAAAGAAATACGGTGGAGGAGATGATCTGCGCTTCGGCGGTGTTGAAAGGAGTGGTGCCGAGGGCAGAGGATGTGGCGGAGGCTGCCGTGTACTTGGCGAGCGACGAGTCCAAATTTGTGAATGGACTGAACCTTCTTGTGGATGGAGGTTATAGCACCACTAATCAATCTCTTACTAGGGTTTTGAGGGATTTCATGTCATCAAACTAGGTTCTGTAAGCATCATCCATTCGTTGTGCTATGTTTTGATCCTTTTGCGCTTCCTCTTTTGGAGAGTTATGAAAACTTCATTCAAACTAGCAAGCAAGAATGTATGTGCGGTGCTGCGGGTTTTAAGATCGTATAAGATGATACTATTGCTTATATACATTTGTTTAGTAGTATAAGTTAGAAAAGGTAGCTTGATAACATGTTTTAGATGCTGCTTGTCATATTGTAGTAAGCCTTGTGCTATTTACATGTATTGTTTGAGAATGCTAAATTCCGTACAAATGAAAAGAGCAAAATAATTTAAATGCATGAATTATCAGGTCCATATTATGTATGACTGCGACAATAGGTGCATTTTCTTTACCAATTTAGTTTACATCCACATACACATTTGACATTTCAGTACACATTTTTAGTGCACACACCACAAAATCTGCCCTTAATTCTTCTACAATTGTAGCAGCCAAACAGTCTGTCTAAGTTGACCTCTCTCACACACAAACCTAACTAGTCGCTCGTCTCCTCCCAACTTCCCGCATACAAATGTGCACACAGATCGGCCGCCTTGTGGCCGGATTTTGTGCTTTTAGAATCAAGCTCCACAATGGATGCAGCCGACCAAGCAGAAAGTCCTCGACACAAGGTGGTGTGTATCTTCAAACGTCCGGCACTCAGCTTTGAATCCTACAATTTGCTTTCTTCCTTGAAAGGAATTTATTGAAGGTTTTCATGCTTTTATCGTTTAAAGAACTAAATAAAGAGCAACGAAAAAAGCAATAACGCAAGTAAGTGACACCTTGTCATTCAAACTAGAAGAATTTTAAGGTTTTTTATATGGCGTCATTTCGCTGAGTTTTTTCGACATGGTTCTCTCTAGCGCCCTAATATAGTGTATTTGTTATATGTATCGATTACAAGTTCTTGAGCTCTACTTTTAGCTCAATTTCAAGAACACCCAACGTGGTTTTTCATTCAAGTATTCAAGAACTCGAAAACAAATTTAAGAAATGTGAATATATTGTAAATATGCACTATGTTTTCTCTTTTGGGACTGATAAATATCTGCTTTATTTGTAATGAATTTTTACTTTTTCACTCGTGGTAATGAATTTTTACTTTTAGTTGAAAATTAAGTAATGAAACAACATTTTGACACATGCTTTATTATCTCTTTGCAGATAATTAGCATTTGGTCTTTTATGCAATTAGTTTCGCTGCATGGATATTGAGATAAAGTTTCAGGAGGCGTGGTGCAATCGAAATCGCTTCTACAACTTATCATCAAAGGCATACCTGTCCCTATAAATATAACCAAACATCCATAGCTTTTAAAATTTTAATTAAACTACTTTCTATAATTTTTGTGCCACATTCTTTGAACTGTCCTCTTTCTAAATTAAAAAAAAAATATCCAAAACTCCTAAATTTAGCCTTCTTTATACGAAAATTATTATTATTATTAATCCAAACAAAGAAAGATAATTATTAATTTATTAATCAATGATATGTACCAAAGGTTTAAATTAAGCGTACCAAAAACTGAAACCAACGTACTAAAAATTAAAACTAAACATACCAAACACTAAAATTAAATATTTCAAAAAATTATATGAGCAAAAATGAACATAAACGTACCAATCCATAAATGAATCAAAACCAACAAGTGAAAACCCATAATAAACATATTAGTAATATAAACAAAATAACTCTCTTATTAAAATTTGCATATAATAATTTAAAAAAATATAAACATCCACCATTTTTGTTATTTTGAAGATACGATTATATTTTTTACCAAAAAAAAAAAAAGAAGATATGATTATATTTTAGTTTTAGAAAAAGAAAATATTTTGTCGGATAAAATATAAAAAGTAGATAATCGGATAAATATTTTGAAAGAAAAACCATGACTATCTCTTAAAAAAAAAAGTCTACAACTTCTAAAATTCTTTAAAAAAATTAGCAGAAAATTACAATAGTAATTTCGAAAATTATAATTAATTAGTTTTAATTTGCAAGGCCCAATTTCTTGTTGGCCCAATCGATTCTCTAACAAGGCCACACTGATTTCCCATAAATACCTAAAACCCTACTTCTCACTTCCCTTACCCTCTTCTCGCCCCTCTCACACGCAGACGCACATACCAGCGGCCGTCGCCTCCCATCTCCTCCGCGCAAATCCACCACCATGGGTCGCGTCCGCACAAAAACAGTGAAGAAATCCTCCCGCCAGGTCATCGAGCGCTACTACTCGCGCATGACCCTGGACTTCCACACCAACAAGAAGATCCTCGAGGAAGTCGCCATCATCCCCTCCAAGCGCCTCCGCAACAAGATTGCCGGATTCTCCACCCACCTGATGAAGCGGATCCAGAAGGGCCCGGTCCGCGGCATCTCCCTGAAGCTGCAGGAGGAGGAGCGCGAGCGCCGCATGGACTTCGTCCCTGAGGAGTCCGCTATCAAGATCGACGAGATCTCCGTCGACAAGGAAACCATCGACATGCTCTCTGCTCTGGGCATGGCCGACATGCCCGGCGTCAAGCGGGTCGACCCGGAAGCACAGTCTCAGAATCTGAGTTTCGTGCGTGGTGGACCCAGGAGGTACTGAAACGGGTTTAGAGAATGATCGGGTTTTGATGCTATACTACATTTGGTTTTTGGATTAGGAAGAAGTTAGCTTATTGCTAAATTTCTATGTGTTTAATTTTATTGAGGAAGCAATGCGGATGACGTCTTTTGTTATGGGATTATGTTATATTTGCATTGAGAATCGAAAGCGTTGCAGTTGATTTCGTTTGTTGAATTAATTGTTTTGGTGTTTATTCTTGTTGATTCTGATGGACACCGATAATCTGGTTTTAGTATGGGCATGTTTAGGTCTAATTGTTTTGGTCGCAATGGTTAGGTTTAATTTTCTGGTTTTGGTATTCATTTGTGATTAGTTTGATCTGTGAAACAATGCTATGGCTTTGTTTCTCATCTGTTAGAATTTGGAACCCTTGTGATGTTAAATTTTGATGCTTATTTGTCGGGGTTTCACGCGTTAGCGTTTCATCTGACTCTAATCTTATGATTAGCATGTAAGCTGTAGCGATGCCTTGAGTTTACTTTCTAAAATGGTTGGTATAATCGGTCCTCACTATCAGTACCATTGTTAGATGTGTGGTTTTGTCATGTCTATTTGCTTCCACACCGGCACTGGTTTTGCTTTCTTCTTTCCGTAAGTACTTAAGCAGTACTGTCTTTGGTTTTTACCGTTTCTTACTTGGTAACTGGATCGTTATACTGTCTAAATATTGTTGAATTAAGTGTTACGGATTGATTGCACCTCGTATGGTTTGCGTGATTGTGGACGTTTGCGTTACCCCTGCCTCTGCAACGGGTTTCCATTCCTTTGCTGGCAATAAGCTTAGCAGTTCTTGGAGTTTTGAGTCCCGACGATACCCCCCTGGTTGTCGAATAAGAGGTCAAGGTTACCTTGCCTTGTAAAGCTATGTTTGATGTCATTTGCGTAGTGATTATATTGGGATTACTCGATTCCATCCGTTGAACATACAAAGACTTGGCTTCAAAAGGTTATTAGGAAGACGGGGTTTTAATGAGCCGTGTTCATCGACTTGTTGGAATTTGTAATGATTTTGTTGAGAATGAGATTGAATGCTAACTGCTGCGTAATCAAAAGGAGCCGTGTTCGTCGACTTGTTGGAACTTATGAGTTGTAACTGCTCCACCGGCAAAAGGAGCCGCCAATATTACAGGGGCTAAATGAAATATACAGTGAAATTGCCTTCATGAATGCTCCCTCTTCAATCTAGAAGCGTTTTTGGACGCGTTTCGGAGATGCAAACTACAACCATGTAATTCTGTATGATACAGGTGAAAGTAAAAACTTATTTGGTAGAATTATTTTTAAAAACTGAACTCAAGACTAACTAAAAAATATAGTTTATTCTCTATAAACATAAAAAATGAGTTTTTAGAGTTTTTAAACTTAAACTCATTTATTTCTTTTCTCTCCTTCCACCCGTCTCACTCCAAACCTTTCTCTCTCCTCTCTTTCTTTTATCTTTTTTGTCTCTCCTTCAATTCGTTTTCTTCATTCTCTCGGTTTTTCTCTTACTCCTCTTCCTTTCTATCTTGTGCGATCCTCTCTCTTCTTTCTCTTTCCTTCAATCATCTCTTATTTTCTTTCCTCCTCTCCTCTTTCTCCCTCTCCTGCAACCACCCCCCCCCTTTTTTTTTAGATATCTTTGTCTAGTTTAAGTTGTGAGATTTAAAATTTTTAAATCACAAATCAATCATGTTTTTTAGTCTTAAAGAAAATTGTTTTTAAGAAATGTTTTGAGAAATGATAAAAATTTTCAAATAGGATACCAAATAGGCCGATGAACTTGGGATATCATCCTTGCCTTTTAATGTTTTTTTATTTCATTTTATACAATTTTGAAGTTCAAAATTTGAGATATAATCTAATTTCGTGTTCTTATTTCAAACACACTTGTTTTGCGGATTTACATTAAAAAATTTCTAACATATAATTTATGAGTAAGTACATGTGAGACTATATTACGACAATTAATTTTGAAGTGAGAAAATCACACCTTTTCAATTGATTCGGAGGAAAAAGTTAAGAGGAACTACACACAAGTATGAAAAGGTCATTCTCAAAACGTAAAGACCTATGATTTGGAAGTCATATGATGAAATCATGCAAGTGAAGGTCATTACAAAAAATACACCCCTTCTTTCCATATATAGTTTTTGAAAAAAAAAAACTATATATGGAAATTAACCCCTTGTTGGGTCGGTCGAGTCAGACTGGTTTGAATAGTAAGTTCCATGCTTTTCTCTTTCATTGACTTTTTAAGCTTTATTAGTAGTTTCTTGGATTGGGTTAATGGGTTCCCGTTTCTTGCTTCTTAGGTCGTGTTTGGTTGGTGAGAAAATGTAGGAACAGAAAATTAACCCCAAAGTTTCTTCCTTTTTCCCCTTTCATAGATTGTGTTTTAGTACTTGTTACTACAAACCAATAAAAGCTGAAATTGCTGAAGTATTAATAGGGGTGGTTCGGTATAGGATACCAAACCAAAACCTTAGTCCCGATTCTCAAACCGAAATTTTCGGTATTCCCAATTTCAAGACCAATCCCAAACCAAATTTTCGGAAATCCCAATTTTCAAGAATCCCGAAATATTTTTGGGCTTTTGGGCGGTGCAGAATAGCAACAAAGCGCCACCTACTAGAGGACCAATAAAAGAAAACAGAAACTGACATAACATACAGGAGGAGCCAATCAAAGAAAATAATTGTTCTGAAATGCAATATGCCACATGAAATGCAACTTTGTAAGGATTGTGAAAGCAGCAAAGCGCCACCTACTAGAGGAATGACAACTTCATTGTATTAGTGTAGTCTTCTTCCATCCCCAACATAATCGACCCATAGACTCCAAATTTTAAACGTTCGTAGACAAGCAACCACTTATAACTCAAGGGGCTTAAATACAGAAGGTTCACAAGGACCAATAAATACAAACCATACAGTATTTGACAACTCTGCCAACATCTTGTACAACATTCTGAAAGTTCAGGTCACTCTTTTCCAGTCTAGCCCGTTGGCATCACAAATGTGGGAGACAACCAATTCTTATCCATATGCCTATGTCAATGTTTCCTGATTACTTTATCCCACGCAAACAGTTCTAATCCATAAGTTCCTGATTACTTTATCCCAAGCCATGAACAAACTATATTACGACTAGGTTAAAAGAATAGACATCTAACTTAAGTTAAAAGAACAGTTGTAAACAATTTCTTCATTGCCAACTAATCATGGGGTTTCAAGCATTTGGTAAATAAAACTCCAGCACAGAAGCTACAGAAGCAAAGCAAAAGAGGGACCTTCACCAATCTGGAAAAACCCAAGAACAATTAGATCAATTAAATAGAATTTGTGAAACCAAACAAACCCTAAATTTACAAACCCTAATCTAGAATTCAAAAATTAAATTTCAAAAACCCTAAAATTACAAACCCTAATCTAGAGTTCGTAAATTAAATTTCACAAACCCTAAATTAAATTTCAAACCCTAAATTAATTCCCATATTTATTTACCTATGTCTGAATCTGAGAGAGAGAATCACGTGAGGGAGTCAGAGACTCCTGAGAGAGAGAATCGCGAGAGAGTCGCAATAGAGAGAATTACGAGAGAGATACCAGTGGTGGCTGTGGTTGTGTCGTGAAGGAAGGGTCCATCGTTGGAGAGAGACAACGGTGGATGATCCGTGTGGTGATGGGCCGGTGACTGGCTGGGCGGAGTTAGATTTGAGACAGATAGGAGGAGGAGAGGGTTCTCTCGGTGGCTGAGGTGCTGAGCTGAGAGACTGAGGAGAAATGAAATCGAAAGTTCGAAACGACACTCGAGTCCTTGATGGGGAGAAAGCTTGACAAGGAATGCACGACATAGATTAATTTGAAACAATCCAACGATTCAAATTAACTCTAACTATAATTAAAAAAATATATATATATATATTATTATCTGTGTGTGTGTATATATATATACAGGCCCCTTAAAGGAAGAGATCCTTATTATTATTTTTTAAATGGGGATACCTTCTTGACCGTTAGATTTGGCTTTAATAAAATTCTGTGGTTGAGATTAAATCACAGGCCACAGATCCTCAACCACAGAATTTCATTAAAGCTAAATCTAACGGTCAAGAGGGTGTCTCTATGTTTTTTGAAAAATGGGAATCCCTTCCCTTAAGGGCTTCCTATATATATATATATATATCAATTAAAAATATATATTTTTGGTTCGGTATGGGAATACCGAAATATTTAAAAATATATATATTTGGTTCGGTATGAGAATACTGACATATTGGGAAGACAATCTTGATTCTCATACCTGAAATTTCGGTATTTTTTCGGGATAGCATACCGAAAATTTTGGGAAAATCGATTTGGGATATTTTTGATTTGGGATCGGTATTTTTTCGGTTTGGTTCGGAATTTTTTTCACCCCTAAGTATTAAGATGTTTAGGAAAATAAGGTTTGTTTTATCCTTTATAATTATTTTGCGATTTTCATGCTCCCATGGAAGATATTAGAAAAAATCCATCTTTAAATCCAGAAATACTTGTTAACATATAAATTTAAATCTTTACAAACTCAGGTATGAAGCATGGTTACATGAAATAATTGTAAAAGGATAAATAAAGATAAAGTTTCTTGCTAATGGTTATTGGTGTCCAACCGAACTATAAAATGAGAACATGCTGTCAAAATTAATAACTTGTTACTCTTTTTTGTGAATTGTGAGTTGCCTCTCATTCATAAAATATTTGATGTGCTAGTTTGGGAAATGTATAACAGATATCGGTGAGCGCTGCTTGACAATGTCCAGACCATGGTTGTTGGTTTGTCTGCTCCTGTTAATTGTGTTTACGTCACAGTTCGAATGGAAGCAATATGGGAATGATGATCCAAGTCCGAGTACCTCCAAGAAACACAAGTCCATATCTGAAAGGGAAGAAAATGTGAAAGAAAAAGTTTGGCAGCCACGTTAGCAGTAAGAGGATTCCGTCTGTATTATATCCTAATTAAATTTTATTTTTTTATTAGTTGTTTGTTCAAGTGACACAAGTTTGACAGCCACATCAGCATTAATAGGACCTCATATTTGTCATGTTATTACTTAACTATTAACTTAACAGATTTTTTAACGGATATATGAAAATGAAACAAAATAATTGTAAATGTATGAGTTAAAATATTTTTAAAATAAGAAAAACTAATGAAAATGATTTAAAAATTTTGAGTTTTAACGATAAAGACAAAATAAATGGTAAAGTGAATAGTATCAGGATTGAATTTTTAATGTAAAAATGTGATTTTTTTTTGTTAAAATGAACACGATCAGGAACTTTTCATTAAAATTCTCTTTAATATATTTTATGAAATTGAAATGAACTGAAACTTGAAAAAATAAAATGTAATTTATTCCTTTCTTTTATATACAGTCGTTATTTCAATCGGACACCATACAATTTTTGAAGTGCAAAAATCATTAAGATTTCTTATTCCATTTCCAGTTTTTACTCAACTCATTTTGGTACGTGTCCTTTAAGAACTATTTTGTGTCGGTAGTGGGAATCAATCAAATCATATATCTAAATAACATTTAGCCTTTTTTTAATATCAAAGAATAATATGGAAAACTGACAATAAGGATGAGGAATAAATAAATAAAGTTATGGGGAGTTAACTGTGAGAATTGGATCTTTGAGATGCTAAAGTGAAAGATTTTACAAACTTGAGGGACGGAATTGCAGAAAATGGAGCCTGTAAAGTTAAACACAACTGAAGTGAAAGGAAAACCAACTTAAAGAACAGAGAGAGGTTTAGTGAACGAATTTATACTCAGAACCTCAACGACCCAACCGAATAATCCACACTTTATTAGAGCAAAAGCCGAAAGTCATAAGCCCAAAAGCAACAGCCATCCGGGTTTTCTTCAAAACTTCAAGCAGTTCAACAGCAACTGAGATATGCCCTTCTTCTTTTGCAGCTCAGATCTGTAAGTTCCATGCTTTTCTCTTTCACTGATTTTTTTAAGCTTTATTAGTAGTTTCTTGGATTGTGGTATGGGGTTCCCGTTTCTTGCTTCTTAGGTCATGTTTGGTTGGTGAGAAAATGTAGGAACAGAAAATTAACCCCAAAGTTTCTTCCTTTTGTTTTTTCCCTTTCATAGATTGTGTTTTAGTACTTGTTATTGCTAACCAAAAAAAAAAACAAAAAAAAATTGCTGAAGCATTAAGATATATAGGAAAGGAAGGTTTTTTTTGTTCTTTATAATTATTTTGCGATTTTCATGCTCCCATGGAAAAAACTAGAAAAAAGCCATCTTTGAATCCAGAAATATTAGTGTAATATAGAAATTTAAATACAAACTCATTCGTGAAGCATGATAATAATATAGAAATTTAAATCTTTACAAACTCAGTCATGAAGCATGTTCCATGAAATAATTGTAAAAGGATAAATAAAGATAAAGTTTCTTGCTAATGGTTATCGGTGTCCAACCGAACTATAAATTGAGAACATACTGTCAAAATTAATAACTTCTCACTCTTTTTTGTGAATTGTGAATTTGGTAAATGTATAACAGATTTCGGTGAGTGCTGCTTCTGAGTTTGTGACAATGTCCAGACCATGGGTGTTGGTTTGTCTGCTCCTGTTAATTGTGTTTACGTCACAGTTCGAATGGAAGCAATATGGGAATGATGATCCAAGTCCAAGTACCTCCAAGAAACAGAAGTCTATATCTGAAAGGGAAGAAACTGTGAAAGAAAAAGTGAGTTCTTATATATATGACTTCTTTTCTTTGCCTTGCATAACCCTTTTGTGTATTTTTGAGTTGGAAATCTACGGTTCTTTACTTTCACAAGTGTTAGTTTGATAGAAGTATACATGTCCTTTTCATTTTAACATTAGGCAATTTAAGAAATTTCAGTAACCAATAGGCTGTTATGGTCTTCGAATTCGGAAATTTATGTCATACGTTAAATTTGAATGTAGACTTAAGTTTTCAGCATACCTGAGTTTAGGATCTTTTTTGTTGCTTCAGTTGGGACTTAGGTTCTAACTTCTCATAGCAGTTAATTATAACAAACTCACATCTTCAGTGCCCAGAGTAAGTGTTTTACAACACATGAAAGATCTAGATACAAATGCTTGAATAGATGTTGCGGCCCCTAATAATTTGCTTCTTCTGTTAATGGCTTCTAAATCCGTATTGTTTGTGCATTTCCCAAGGGCATCGCAATAAAGTCATCGTGCACTCTGCCATAGTGGACAAAAATAAGGGAGTGAAGATGACCTTTTTGAGTGCTAATGACAATTTTTTTTTTTTTTTTAAATGACTGATCTTTGATTTCCCTGGGTTGGCCTTTAAATTTTTCTGAGAGAATGAAATATGCAGGATTATGTAGCTTTCGAAATTATAAAAGTATCTTCAACTGTTCTTCCTAATTTAATTGTTTTGGCCTTCTTTGTTTTACCTAGTTTTCTGCTATGGAGAATGCTTCTCCAATTGGCACAAGTTTTTCTGTATGGTTAAACTGCATTTTCGGAAGAAGAAAATCCTCTTGCTTATGCCTAGCTCACATCTTACCAATTCAGAGATAGGGAGAGAAGAGGGGAGGGAGAATTCACCCAGTCCAATGACTGGACTTTGAAAATGCAGATAATCCTCCGTGTTCATAAATATATTCATGAAAGGGAAAATACAATAAATCCTCTTGCTGATGCTTATCATTTTTAGTTTAATGATTTGGTTTCCCTTTCATGGAATATATAAACACAGAAAAAGGTAGGAAGAACTTTGTGAGAGAGAATTCACCTAGTGTTTGTAAACTAACGGTGCTAAAGGCCATGTAATCAAAGCATTTATGTAATCCCAATACAAGTTATTGGATAAGGGCCTCTGAATCTTGTTGCATTAAGTACTTCAAAGGAAAGTTCACCTTGGATATTCTTAAACTTGTTTTTTGGCGTACACAGTTTACTAACGATTTATGTTACAATGCATTATTTAGCTACTTGCTTCTAACATACCTGTGGTCGCATAATGGCCTGATTCTATGGATTATGGTACACTGCAACTTCAACCTGGTAGATAAGTCCATTAACTTCATTGAATATCAACTTTACTGCAGATTATCCTTTCCCAAGAGAAAAGTATACAGAAACTTAATGAGCTTGTGCGGAGTCTTCGAGAACAATTGCTACAATGTAGAGGTGAAAATGAGATTGTCAATGGCATTTCAGCCCCTTTGACTGAACTTCTTTCTGAGCTTGAAAGGCATCCACTTTTGGAGGATTAGTCATGGATTATACATGTTAAACATCAATATGTTTGTATCTGTAGGTAGGAAAATCCAAATTCTTTTTTATTGCTTAGCTTCATGTGAAATTACATCCGTTTAGTTGCAAAGTGCAATATCAAAACTGTTATCTTCTGCCAGTAGTTGTGGATATATAAGGTTCATATGCTTTACTTTTTTGCCTTACTCGTCAATGTACAAATCTGCAGTAGTCGGTGATAGTGAATTGATTTTGATTTGATGTCTTGGTAAAATGCGGGTCAATAGTATGGCCTTGTTCGTATCTCTGTGATATTCTGAGTAGATGGTTTAGTAGATTGAAATGAAACACAGGGGATTATGTAGAAAAATTGTTAGAAGCAGAATACCGGGATTGTTTATTGTTCACCCCCTTTAGTGATTCCTGGTAAACGATTAGTTCTCATTCAGCTTACCAAACTTAAACATGAACAAACACCTTGGCTGGAGTCCTGGGCTACAAATCTTGTCTTATAAATTACTAAGTTTCTGCACTGAGTCTTGGAGTCGCTAACGGGGTTGTCATTGAGGAGATCCCGATAGTATTATCGTGCCGAACCTTTTTATTAGTTGTGCTGTTGCTAAGCAGTAATTATCAAGAACACTATTTATTAGCTTTTGTCCTTTTGTATTCCAATCAATTTTGTCCTCTCAATATTAATCTGTTAAGACAGAAAAAATGAAAAAATTCTGTGTTCATAAGTGTACTCACTACTTAGTGGAAGAGTGTGAAGTGGGTGAAGTGGGTGTAGGTTTATTCCTTGCAGCCATCATCTTATGTTTGAAGTCGCAATTATGTTGTGAAGAAACCTTTGTTGAGGTTCATATTTGGATTTAATATTTGGATGAACTTAATTATGATGAAATGCCTGCCATTTCAATTTATGAATTTGCAAAGAAACAGTTAAAAAAGGACTGCGTATTAAATTTTTAGTACCATTTTCTGGAACCACCATAACTGTATTCTTAGTAGCCTTTCTTACCTACCTTTTGTTTTTCCCTCTCCTTCACATTTCTATGATGATCATCCATGATGTAGTTTGTACTGGTGAGAAGATTTAAGGCTGAAGATTTACTTCTCTCTCTGTCTCTCAATTTGATATAAAGTTTAACATAAGACCTTCTCCGCTGCTGATTCAAAGTTTATATTTTTGTATTTTTGAGAAGAGGGCAAGGCCTTTTACATTGTTCCAATCAGTCCACTGTTACCCCCTGTAATTTATGAGGGTGATACGGAAAGAGTCTATTTTGAGCATCATATCTAGTTAAGTTGGCACATTCATCTTTAGATTTCTTGGAAAGATTAAACAGGAGTGCCATTTCACGCAAAATTCGTCTGTTGCCAGCATGTTATGGATTTATAAGGTTCATATATTCTACTTTTTGTCGTTTGCTGTTTTGTGTTTCTGGTTGTCATTCGGGGAGATCCCAATGGCAAGTGTTCATACGTGTGTGAAGTTGGTGCAGGACTATTCCTTGCAGCTCGTCTCAAGTGTTCATATGGAGGTACGTTTTGATTTGAACTTGATCACAATGTCTGATGCTTCAATTTATGATTTTGGTGGATAGGCTTTTAATTGTGACAATAACTATTTAGTACTATTTCTGGAAACACCATTACTGTGTGGCGAGTTTTAACTGTTTAGTACTATTTCTGGAAACAGCATTATTGTATTTTCAGTAGCCACTCTTATCTACCTTTTTCTTTCATCTTTTTCACGTCTACGATTATACCAGATGCACTGCTGTATTCTTTTCCCTTCCTACTGTTGTAGTTTTTACGTATGAGAAGATTCATGGCTAGCGACTTACTTCTCTTTCCATCTCTCCGATTTGTTTCCTCAACCTATCTTATTTTCCAATTTCTCACAAGTTGGCATTGAAACTTTAACATGAGGCCTTCTCTGCTACTGATTCAGAGTTTGTAGTTTTTGTGTTTTGGATGGGAGGGGCAACCCCTTTACATTATACCAATCCGTTTCCTGCATCATATCCATAGTTACTGCATTCATCATAGTGAGAAGTTCCACCTCCATATCAAAGTCAACTTTTGGCACAGGTAGAGAAATCAAGTCAGGTTAAGTATTAGGGTTTAAGAAAATGAACGAACATAGCATGAATTTTAACTGTGTCGAACCGATTTACAACCCTAATCCTCCACAGCAATCATGGGCAGGTGAGCACTTGGGTTCTAGTTAAGGTCAAGGGGCCTCTTTGATGTTGCTGATACATATCAGAAGTCAGAACCTGCATTCATAGTTAGGGGCCTTGCAAATCAATATGCATCTTTAGATTGCAGGCCAAGTTGCAGTCTCCATTGTTACTACTACAGTTGTTTATTCTGCCAGAAAAATAAAACATTAATGTAGATAAATTTATGAACTCCTAATTCAAGGAAAGAGGAAGTAAATAAGATTTCCTTAATATAACGAGGTTAGGGTGGTCATTGCCAAGGTGGTGGTGTAGGGGGAACAACGGTGATGAGGTGGTGGCAACGATGGTAGTGACGACAATGGTGGTGGTGGTGGTGGTCTGCGTCAATGGTAGGTGGTGGTGGTGGTGGTTTGTTGGATAAAGAGTAAAGGAGTGTAAAACACGAGATGGTAAGAAAATTCATTCTTCAAAGTAAGGATAGTACGAGAACTGAAAATGTTCATTAAATGCTCTGTTTCGATTTTAATGAAAGCAGTTTTCAAAAGCAAATTAGACGTTGCTTTTAAAGGGTGTTGTATTCTCACAAGGCTACTGCTTTTAAAATAAACATAATGCTTTTGATTTGATTTTAAACACTTTTTACTGTTTTAACTTTGAAATAAAATATTTTTTACTGAAAAAAGAAAAGAAAAGAAAACAATACCGAACAAGGCTTGTGCTTTCTGAATACCTAGATAAACTATTTTTAGTTCCTTGCACGGATCTAAATTCTGTAACTTCAGCAAAATAATAGACATTGCAAGTTTTAGGCCAATTATATCCAGGCTGATTTCCCTTTCGTGGTAGCTGAAGACACTCGAAACAGAGACCCACGACCTCCTTGATTCTGAAAATATTTGAAGCAGTCCTAACTAATGTCACACAGAAATAAGTAAATTTTCTCTCAACTTGTGTCCATTATAATTCATAGGGAGGCTGTTTTCATATTTATGTCTTGCACATCATCCATAAATGGGAATCTCACCCACCCATTGGAGAAAATCTGCCGTTCTAGTAATGTTGTATACGATTATATGTCTATATCTCTTATCATGTAACTAGACACATAATTATGTACATCTGTACACCCAATAAGCATCAATTTTTATAGATAAAAATCGACAATTTCGTTGATAAGAACAACAACAATACAAGGAGGCAACAACAACCCACTAACTACAACATTCTTCTAAAAATAAGTCTAAGATGAAGTCCGAAGGTTCTTCAAACCAGGTACAACATACCAAAACGAAGAGCCTAGTGAGCCAGGCAATAAGCAATTTCGTTAGCCTGACAACACACATGGGTGGAAGAAGCTCCAGTGGTCCCAGATAGCAATGTTTTCGACTCCTCCACAAATTGTCTCACAAAAGCTCTACAATGAAAACACTTGGTCATATCACCAGTTAATGTGGTATACAACTATATGTCTATTTGTCTTAGCACATAACTGTACGTATAATTATAACAACTGATGACGCCCAAGAAACTCTCTCAGTTGATTGAAATTCTCAAAAACATTGTATTTATGAATCCACACAACAAAACAACTACATCAAAAGTATCTTGAGCAAAAGAAAGGAAAAAACAATGCATGTGCAGTTCTTTTCCAAACCATAAGTGATAAGCCTCAATCAAACTCAAATGGAGTTCTCAAGAAAAGTTGCATATGTTGGTTGCCATGCATGCATTTGCTTGATTACATATGGTTGGAGCAGAAGTAATCATGGCCATTAATCTGTAGGGCGTAGTCTTCGATCTTTATCACACACTAATGGAGGCACATTTAATGGCTCCTCTAATTTTTCATTCCATGTGCTGCTTAATTTAAAGAGAAACCAAATAAGGACATTTCAATTCGAGCCCTAAGTAACAAACCAGCTTGATGGCTTTATGATTAAACCACATTAGGAAGCACTGAGGCACCAAATTATTAATCCAACCCTACCCACCTGAATGTTTGGTTTACAAACTTTTTTTTTAATAGTATCTACACTAAGGGGGAGTGGGTGGGCTTAGTCTCACAATGAACTACCAATAATGTGGTTCAAATCCATCTTTGGTGAGAATCGAACCTAGCTAAGACCTCTCTCTTACAAGTGAAGATGAATACCATGAGACCGCATAATACTAATTGGCACAAACTTATTTAAAAACTTGCCTAAACCCTAAGCCTAAAACATGAGAAATTTTTGTGTACCAGCAACACGGTTACGTTATGTATTACTATTACTCCACGTGTTATGAATGGCTTTGACGACCAATTGAAGACAAAAAATTCATATGTAGTTTATAAACTAGGGATTTGGATCCTCTCTTGAGCTAATAGAGAGGGTCCTCCTGACCCATCATCGTGGACCGTTAGATTTTTATCCAACGGTCACAAACAGGGGATCCTTTTAAAGTTATAATAATCGTAGCCGTTGAATAAAAATCCAACAGTCCACGATGATGGGTCAGCAGGATCCTCTCCATTAGCTCAGGAGAGGATTCAAATCCATAAACTAGTATGGCCTCGAAAAACTTATCATAGTGTAATGAGTAGTAGAAATATTTTGTGCTGAACAAAAATTGGATCCAGAGGTAACTGTGCTTTTTCCTTTTCGCATAAATTACTGGGGTTGGACCTGGGAGAGCAAGAGTCCACTAATGATTTCGTGGTTTTATTTTTATCAATTTTTGTAGAAGTAATATTTTATTTTCCATATCTAAATTGTAGCAGAGAGGAGAATCGAGAGCAAAAGTATAGCAGAATGTTAGCTTTATTAAAGCTGCAAACTTGTTTTTCACGTGTTTAAAGTCTTGGGATCACAAGAGGTTAGGATCAACTATACTTGTAAGCTATTAGGGAATGTATGTAGACAGATAATGTAGCTAAAGAAGTCCTGATGTGAATAGGTTTGTGTATTATGATATGGATACTATAATT